GCCCCGTCGTGGTGCAGTGACCCTGGGGGTCTGTCAATACCATGTTGGATCCATGCATTTCAACACCCCGATCTGCACTTGTGGTCCTCACATTCCCCCCCGAGTCCTGAGGAGAGGGCAGGCCCTTCAAGACCTGGAGTGGCTGCTAGGAGCCCCCAGCTCTCCGAGCCATGTAAACTGTATACACTGCAAACCTGAGATAGGAAAGAGCTAAGCAAAGGTGAACTTCAGCACAGTTACAACACTGAAATGACCCGCCTGGCTAGAGTATTATGGCTAAGGACAAGGAGCAGAGAGGTCGAAGAGAATGGTGAAGAAGAATCATTCAGGACCCTAAACTAGCGAGGAGGCTACTGCAATAGTCAAGTTCAGAAAAGATGGTCACTTGGATGAAAGAGATAGTGGTATGTAGAAAAGTGGACAATTCTAAGACACACTTTGAAGGCAGAACCGGCAGGATGTGCTGCTAATGGATTATATATGGGGGATGAGGAAATGAGAGAAATTCAGAATGCTGCTCAGACTTACACAGCTCAACCTCTGTTGATGGAAGAAGAGGTGGAAAAGAACACTGCATGCACAGTTTTGGGGAATATAAAGTCAAGAGTTCCATTCCAAACATATTACATGTGGGATGCTTATAAATGGTGTAGGCAGGGGTGTTTACGAGTCTGCCATGCAAAGAAAAGTTGGAGTTCAAGACATAACGTCAAAAATCATCAACTTGGGGAACCAGCAGTTAGCGTAATGGCTATGTCGCTGGACTCCCATGTAGTCAACCGTGGTTTGCGTCCCAAACCCGGTGGCTTAAAACTCACGCCGGGTGCGTGTGTGTGCGTGCCCAAGATCCCGAGAGGAGAATGGAGGAGAAGGGATTGCGGCGTGGCCATCCCCCCTGGGGGGTGATTTCTCGCTTTCTGTCTCTCTGTCTCTCTCTCTGTCTGGCGAGCGCACGTGCCCTATAGCGAAAACCTCTCCAAAAAAAAAAAAAAAGTCATCAACTTGTAGATTGCACTTAAAACAATGAGGTTAGATGAGGTCCCCTAGATAAAAATAACTATGTGCGTACACAGAGAAAAGAGAGAAAAGGTGCAGGATGGAACCGAGGAGCTCCTTAAACCTAAAGGGACCAGACAATGAGGTGAGGCGTTAAGAACAAGAGAACATGGTGTCATGGAAACTAAGAAAGCTCAGCATCTCAGGAAGACAGCTGAACGCTTTCACTAAGTTAAGAGAGAGGAGGGAGGGCAGGCGTTTACTGGATTTGTAAATGTGTGTGTCGAGGTGACCTTGGCTGGAACAGGCTTGGTGGAGTGAACAAAGGTTGGCTGTGAGCTGGGAAAAGATAGGAGGTTAGGGAGGGGAGAGTGGGTGTTCACAGCTGCAATTATTATTATTTTATCTTTAATCGTGATAAAATACACATAAAATGTACCACCTTAAGCATGTTTAAACCCACAGTTCAGTGGCATTAAGGACATTCACATGGTCGTCCAGCCATTCTCCATCATCCCTTTTGAGAACTTTTCTAAGATTCCAAACTGAAACTCTGTATGCATTAAACAACAACACTATCCCCACCCCCTGATTCTGTCTCTCTCCATCCCCTGGTAACCCTCCAGTCTACATTCTGTTTCTATAAATGTGCGTACTGTAGATATGTCATATAAGTGGAATCACACAGTATTTGACTTTTTGTGACTGGCTTATTTCACTTAACATACAATAGCCAAAGTTCATCCATGTTGTAACATGCATCTGAATGTCCTTCCTTTTTATAGGCTGAGTAATATTCTACTGTATGTGTCTATCACACTATGTTTATTCATTATGGTGATGCACATGTGGGTTTCTTCCACTCCCTGGCTATTGTGAATAGACCACTGTGGACATGGTGTGCAGAGATGGCTCTTTTGCATGAAGCAGTCAAGGTGAGAGCTGGAGGGGTTGAACAGTCAAGGGAGAAGGTTTTATTTATTTTATTTTTTGTTTTTATTTTTGTTGTTCCCCAAGCTAGAGAAACTAGAGCATGTGATTCTGTGGAGAAGGGGAGAAGGAGCAGAGGGATAATTGAAGGAATTTGAGGAATATGTTTCTCTATTGTAACATGTCAGGAGGTGATATTGGAACCTGGGAGACCTGCTTCCCCTGCAGAAAAGTGAGAGGATGTGGCAGATGTAGGTGATCTCAAAGCTTGGACAGTGGGTAGATAGGTTTCCTTTAAATTACTGCCTTTTCCTTTGTGAAGTAGAAGCCAACTTCATCAGCTGGGAGTTGAAAGGAGAAGGGAGGATAGGAGGTTTAGAGGAGAGGGAAGGTCTGAAGTAACCCTCTTAAGGAATGTTTCTCCATCTTGGCTGCACTTCAGAATCACTAGAACACAGAGCTATTAAAATATTCTGAGACCAGCTCTGGACGCACAGCAGTAATGCAAGTCTCTGCGTTGCTGATGCCAGATGAGAACACCCCGAGTTTGTTCTCAGGGCCTCTGTGTACACGTCAGGGAAATGCATGGGCTCGTGATCCTGGCTGCATAAGACTGGTGGTGGACTGTGGCGTAATGATCCTGTTAGGGATTCCTCTCTCTCTGTCTTTCTCTCATTGAGGCAATAAATAAATAGGCTTAAAAATTTTCTATAGCTCTTCCTCAGTTCTGAGTGTGATATAATTGGTCTGGATGAGTCCTGGGCATCCATAGTTTTAAAACCTCTCTATGTGATTCTAATGAGCCACATGGGTTGAGAATGAGTGGAAAAAAAAAGACCTATTAGAAGAAAAAGTAGGATTCCTGGGAGCGTTGAAATCCAATTGGAGATGTGTAATTATAAATTTCAAGTGAAATGAACTGGTACAAGTTACATGGTATGGGTGTATGTGTATGTGTGTTTCCTGGTCTATTGTGTTAACACACTTAACCTCCTCTAGTCTCAGGAGCTCATTCATACGGATGGAATAAAGACTGGCTTCCATGTGACCACACCACCTAGGTACCAACAACATCTATAACAACGAGTGACTAAATTCAACTGGCTAGGGGAGGGGAAGCACTTGGAGTTGGGGGACTCCATCAACACCCTTTCTTTTTAAAATGCACTCATTTAGGAGCTCATCTATTTCTCATCATTGGCTTCTATCAATAATATTAACGGAGTGTCATCATGTGCCCGGCATAGTTCTAAGCATCTTGTCAATCAATTCCTTCAGTTCTTACAGCAGCTAACATGTCCATTCTACAACGGAGAAAATGAGGGGCAAAACTAAAAATCAGGAAGCTGCCGACACTTACATAGTTAATGAACAAGGCGATGGGACCCAAGACCAGGAAATCTAGACGTGTGCTCTTGACCACAGCACACACCATCTCGTGTTCTGTCGGAAAAAAAACATTTCCTGTCTCACCACAGCAAACATCGTTCTTGGGAAACAGACGAATGCTCAGGACTGCTATGAAATCTTTACCTCTACTTGCTGTGCAGTGTGCCAGGGAGAACCGCTTGGTGACCGCTGTTCATCTAACTCCTTTCATGAAAATAGGATCTCAGGGCCAGCAGATGGTGTAGAGGACTATTACGTAGTTGACTGTGGTTCAAGTCCCAGACTCGGTGGCTTGAAAATCATTCAGGTGCAGAGGGGATTGTGGTGTGGCTATCCCCCAAAGGGGGTGATTTCTTACTTTCCCTTTTACTGTCTCTGTCTCTCTCTCCAAAGAATGCATGCAATCTAAGGCAAAAACCTCTTTAAAAGAAAAAAGAACATAGAATTTCTAGGTCCGAAAATCATTCTAAGAAAGCCCGTAAATGGTCCATATGTAAAACATGGATTTCCAGCCCTGTCCTTCCTAAGACACAAAATGGAGAATGGAATCAATCAGAATTCATTTATAGGGAGGACAATTCACTGGGTTTAAAGAAATTCTTTGAGGGAACCAGCAGTTAGCGTAATGGCTATGTCGCTGGACTCCCACGTAGTAGACCGCGGTTCACGTCCTGGACCCGGTGGCTTAAAACTCACGCCGGGCGCGTGTGCGTGCGTGCCCCC